TGAATGAGACCTTCACCCTCCAGGTGTCCAGGACTCACTGAAGAAGATGGCAGGGAAGGAGCAGCATGTGTGGGGCCCAGTTACCTGTTCCCAATGGTCAGCAATTCCCAACAGAGGGGGGCAGCAGAGGGCTAATCTAGACCCCCACATACCTGAGGCCTTGTTGCAAAACTTGGACAGATGGATAGACTGGAGCCTGGCCCAGGCTGCTAGAGGGCTGCCCTGGCTTGTCTTCTTCTCTCTACTCAGTCAGTCCCCCTTCACCTTTTACAGACAGCCGATTCCTGGTGGAGCCTTATTGGGACCTGGTGGGATAGGTAGTCTAGCAGCTCCGCAAGCCTCCCCTGGAGGTCACTCTGACTAGGGAGCCATCAACCAGGACCTGACTGTCCTGACACCCTGGCCGGGCTCCCTCCCTGCTCTCTGAGACAGTGCCCTGTGTAAGGCTGAGGACAGGGTCAGACTCCTCCCCGCCCTCCTCCTGCTTTGGAGATACCTAGGCAGGCAGGCAGGGAAGTGGAGGTGGCAGGCCCTACAGCGGCAGGGGTGGTGGGAGGGAGGCGCGGTAATGAATGTGGACGGGAGGCGGAATGAGCGATCCATCTTTGCATGGGAGGGGAGGGGGCTGCGGGCGTTCCCCCCACACACTCACACACTCAATCAGGCGCTGTCAGACCTCCGGCCGCCTGGCATTTTGGTGAAGAATCTCTCAGCTAAAAATTGTTGTCAGTCCCATTTCCTCGTTATCAGTGCAAGGGCTGAGGCAGCGCCCGGGGATTAGCAGGAGCGGCGAGCGCCCGCGCCCGCCATCCACTGCCGATAACACTGGGCCTCCCGCCTCACCTCCCCCATTCATCATCTTTAGCACTGACAGCCCGACCCAGTCCCTGTCCCCATCCCCTCCACGGCTCCCTACTGTGCGGCTCAGCCTGGCTCCTGACCTCTCCAGGGAACTAGGCCTCCTGGAGAGAGACAAGATTCAACCTAGGCCTATGTGAACTAGACCCACCTGTGGCAAAAGGCCTTGCCCAACAGTTGGGGGAGTTGTCAAGGGCAGCACCAGGAATGTTCAAGGACAGGATGCTTGCTGACAGTCTGCCTCCTGTAGGCTCTGGCGGCTACCTGTGATACTGACAACAGAGTTGGAGAAGGAATTTCTGGACAGGATGGGTAGCTGGACTAAGGATTTCTGGGGGTATCTTTAATCTGAGATGGACTTCCAGATTCTGGGAACTGTGGAAAGGAAGAGCCAGAGGATGCCTCCACCCAAGCCTATGAAGAGTAGAGGGTTGAGGGCTTCATTCCCACCCCAGCAAGACCACAGCCCCCTCCTCTTGGCCATCCCCAGCGGTTTTATGGCCCATTTTATGGCCACTGTAATGGCCCAGGTCAAAAGCTTCAGGGAGCTGTATTCTGGGAATTATGCAAACGAGGAGCAGGCCCAGGGCCAGAGTATGGATTTTGTCATTAAACCTGGGCAGGCCATGTCGTTAATGCAGTAAAATCCACGTCATGACCACAGGTCTCAATATAAAATTATAGGGAACACAGCGGGGGAGGGGAAGCAGGGGGCCGTGGCCATGCTGACACCTGCCACTCTAACCCCTGAGAAAATGGAGGTGGGATGGAGGGCACAGACTATAGGATTCTTCCGCTGATCCCTGTCAGTATTATTCCTGAAGCTGGAAGCCAAGAAGGCCCATTGTCCCCACAGGAAAACTGAGGCCAAGCTCAGAAAAGCAGACTGTCTAGTGATAGCAAAGCAAATGAAATGAGAACAGGTATTTGGGAATGCTGATGCCTGGCCTCCAAACATGGGAAGAGGAATCTGAGCCCCAGGAAGCCCTAAGAGTCAAACTTGGTATCTAGGAAAAAAGGGCCTGAACCCCTGAAGTTTCCACCTCAGCTCAGACCATATATCCTGGATCCTCCTTTTACCATCCTTCTCTCTCACCATTTCTCCTTTTAAACCTCAGACCCTGCTGCAATGAGCTGTTCCAACAACCTGGTCAACTTTCCCTTACTTATCCTTCATGCCACCCCTTAAGCATCACCTTTGCCTTCATTCCTACCAACCCTCCCTCTGGCCACCTGCCCTTCCACAGCATCCCTCATCGTTCCTGCTTTCCCACTAATAGGTGATCTCCTAGAGGCTAAGAATGTGTTTTACTTATCTCTGAACTCCAGTCTCCCCAATGCCTGACATAAAATGGTTAAACATTTGCTGAACTAATAAATAAATGAAGCCATGGAATCAAAAGCCAAGTTCAGCAATCCCTGTCCAGTTCTAAGCCTCAATTTCCCCATCTGTAGAATAAAGATAATAGCTGAGAGAATTCCTAAGGCTTCACTCATCTCTGAGAGTCTCTGACTGAATGAAACAAGGAACAGAACTGAGACTAGAATCCTCATTTCCCACCTCTCACCGGGGCCACACCTACTTCCTTTACTCAGAGCTGCACTCCAGCTGTCCCCTGAACACTTGAGGCCCAGCCACCAAAGCACAGGACAGTAGGATCTGTTCCCCTCTTCAGAGACCTAGCCATGCAGGCTGGGCCACACCTATACCACCCTGACATACATAAAGCCTCCACAGCTAACATCCTAGCTCTGCAAACATTATCTGACTTCTAGGACACTCTGATGGTTATTCCTTCCCTTCCTCTTCCTTTCTTTTGCTTCATCACTGAACATCTAGTTTATGCACGGCCTGCTATAAATTGTCTGTAAGTATACAAATGGATATGAAATGGTTCCTGTCTACAAGGAAATTACAACTTACTCATTTATTCATTCATTTGCTCCCATTCCCTGCCTGGTATACTTCTAAGCTGCAACTTAAATTTCATTTCTTTGGTTAAGCCTTCTCTCTGTTTCCACTCCCCGAAACACACTCAGAATGAATTGCTCCTTCCTTTGAGCCCTCATATGACTCTCCCTGGGCCTCTAGAGAAGTTATATTCCTGCTCAGAGTGCGTCAAAGGGAGGTAGGTTCTTGCGCTCAGTCTGAACTTATACTCAAGTATAAGATTGCTAGATTTAGCAAATAAAAATATAGGAAAGAAATCTAGAGGTAAATTTGATTTTAGAAAAACAAGAAATAGTTTTTAGGATAAATATGTCCCATGCAATATTTGGGACATCCTCATACTTCAAAATCATTTGTTGCTTATATGAAGTCAAATTTCACTGGGCATCCTGTATTTAACCTGCCAACCCTACCCAGGTGACCATCTTGCTCATCATTGGCATGATTTTTATCTTCCCAAACTGATTTTGAACCTCTCCAGGTACCAATAGGAAGAAGCAGCAAGGAGGAAGAACTGGGGTCAAGCTAAAGAAATCCTTCTAAGACTGGGCAAGGTGATATGTACCTGTAATCCCAGCTACTTGAGAGGCTAAGGCAAGCGAATCACAAATTCCAGGCAAATTATCAAGACCCTGTCTCAAAATAAAGGGCTGGGGAGTTAGCTCAGTGGTAGTGTACTTGCCTGGCATGTACAAGGCTCTGAGTGTCTTCCCCATTGTTAAAAGGGAAAAAAAAAAGTCCTTCCTACAGCTATCCATGGATAGCTAGAGATGTTTCTAGCTCCTCAATCCTCATGCTTGTAAGCAGAGGCTGAGAAAACACTGGATGGGTTTAGACATCCCAAGAGAGGTAAACTAAGCAAACAGAGGGCTCTTTCCTAGCTTAGTTTATTCTGGATATTGTTAGTAACCAAGCAGGAATAGAGTTCAGGCTCCCAGGTAGCTCCCAATATACTCTTATACTGGGAATATACACAACTTAAAGGATATTTTGGAGACGAAAACTCAGAATCAGTGAGACCTACAGAGGCCAATGAAGTTGTCCAAGGAAGAAATAGTGAGACCTGAATGGGGAGACTATAGATTCCAGGAATATTAAAGTAGACTGGTCAGGACTTGGTAGTTAAGTGTGCAAGAGGTGGAAAGGCAAGAGAAGAAGTGGATGGTGAGGCTATTACTGGCTTGGGTGAGTAGATTAATGAAGGTATCATTTACGGTGATGGGCTCTGCTAAAGGAAGAGTAGGTTTGCAAGGAATGAAGAAGTTGAAGAACTCAATTTGAATTGTTGAGTTTCAGATATTTCTGGAACATTCAGGCATTAATGTTCGTTATATATTTGGATATAGGGGTCTGGAGGGATCTGGGGTAGAAACACAGAATATGCAGTCAATAGGACATGGGTAGGAATTATAGCTATAGAATAAACTATATCATTCAGCACGCAGAATGAGGAGAGCAAAAGTTAAGGACAGAATCTTTGGGAAAAGTAAAAAAAAAAAAATGAGAGAATGCTGCTCTGGAAATCACCTAGACTCTGTTGGTCTTTCCTACTTGACTGCAAGGTCCTCAAGGGCAGGGACTAGATCTGATTCCATTCTAGGATGACACTGTTCTGCACATGTCTATTTTGGAGTGAGTATGAGGGAATAGTTGTTGAATGACTGCAGAAACCATTCTCCTTTCTCCCTCTCTTGTCTTTCTTCTCCAGATCTGATAACTGTGAAATCAATGAGGAAAGGAGAAAGTCAGGGAACCTCTAGATGTTCTGGGTGATGGTATGATTAAACATGTGTGAAATGGAGTGATCAAGTTTGATTGCACAGAGCATTGTGTCCCAATAGACTTCCAAGAGGGGCAGCTAGCTGAGGAGGCACAGCATCTGGAACCCCAAAATGAGTGATGTTTGTGGGCTCTCAGACCCTCCGACTCACCATTCTTCTAGATCAAGAAGCCTAGGAGGAGCTGGGGTTGTGGCTCAGTGGTATAGCGCTTGTCTAGCATGTGTGAGGCACTGGGTTCGATTCGTAGCACCACATATAAGCAAATAAATAAGCAAAGTTCCATCAATAACTAATAAAAAATACTTTAAAAAGAAGAAGAAGAAGAAGCCCTAGGGGGGTGGTAGCCAATATGGCTGAGTTTTCCTACAGGGACTGGAACAGCTAATGCATGTCTATCCTTCCCCTGCCAGGTAAGAAGAAAGCAGCAGCATTGTTTGACAGCCAGGCCCCGATCTGCCCCATCTGCCAGGTCCTGCTGAGGCCCAGCGAGTTACAAGAACATATGGAACAAGAACTGGAGCAGCTGGCCCAGCTGCCCACCAGGTAAGTCCCCTGTGGGGAGCCTGCACACTGGAGGATTTCACTGAAGCTCCAGCTACCAGGTTTCAGGAACAGCCACCTGGCCACACCCCAGCCTCTAGGGAGAAGCCAGGATCCTGCTGTCATTCTCCACCACTCAGCTTTCAATCCTCAGATCCTCCAGCTGAATGGTACTGGAGAGTAGGAGGAGAGTGACCCCTTGGGCCCCAGCCTCAAAGATAAGAAGAGGAGTTGGAAAGGAGTGAGTCACTGCCCTAGGCCTAATACTGCCATAGTTACTGCCCCAGGCTTACTATTGCCATGTAAGGCTTCGGGGCAGAATAAAGAAGCTGGTATGAGACCTGGCAGCCCCATCAGAAGTTCAGCCTGGTTCTGCCTTCCAGGCGAGTGAGCAGTACCATCTCCATCAATCTCAAGGACTGAGAGGTAACAATCTTGAGAATGTGCTCAGGTGTGTTCCCACCCCACAGACAGGAGGCTGAACCTCCTCAAGGACCCTGAGGAAGAGCTGGACCCTGAGGGGAGCAGAGGAGAGGTATAAAAACTTATCTCAAATCTTAGCAATATAAAGCAGCTATTCCATTATGCTTGTGTAATCTGTGGGGTCAGGAATTCAGACAGGGCACAGAGGGGATAGTGTCTGCTCCAGAGGTCCAGGGAAAAATTCAGTGGCTGGGAGCTGGGATCATCTGGAGGTTGATGCTGGCTATCAGCTGCGACCTCAAATGGCACTGGGACCAAAGCACCTACACATGACTTTCCCATGTGGCCTGGCCTTTCTCAGCTTAATAACCTTGGGATAGGTAGATTTTTAGGACTCCAAAAGCAAATGTCCCAGCCAATGAGATGGAAGCTAAATCACCTTTTATAACCTAGCCTCAGAAGTCATTTAATGTCACTTCCACTGTACTCTATTGATGAAGGCAGTATTAGCCCACCTAGATGCAAGGAAAAAGGAAAAGTGCCCCTTTTGATGGGAGGAGTGGCAAGGTCATATCGTGGAAGAGAACAGGGGGTTCTCCCTATCCCACCGCTTTTTGTTTAGTTCAAGTCATCAAACCTGAATGATCTGCTTTCCTTCTACTCTCCCACCTAACCTCCCATGCAGGGTGCAAAAGATCCAAAATGGTCCCTGTCCTGGGAAGCTCAGAATATGAGAATACAGAGTCAGGCACTACAAACCCCAAGGCAAAGAAGCTGCTATATGGGAAAAGCTGGAGTTGTGGGGGTATTATGGAGGCACCGAACCCAGCACAAAGTAAAGGAGGCTTCCTGAAGGAGGAGGCTGTGTGTGTGTGTGTGTGTGTGTGTGTGTGTGTGTGTGTGTGTGTGTAAGGGCAGCCACATATTTTACTTTAGGGAAATGGTGCTAGACACTTTTTTATATTGAGACAAGCTCCCACTAAGTTACCCTTGCTGGC